CTTGTAGGGGCACCCTGGAAGGCGGTGGACACGGGGCTGCGATCCGCCGGGTGATTTATAGCGTTTTCCTTATCACACCTAAGAGGAAAACCATGGGAACATTTTCTTAATTTGATAAAATTTGTCACAAAGTCACAAGTAAAGCATAAAAAGTTGAATATACACCCTGCATTTTAAAATGAGTGCATTTTAGCAACAACGTGCATACCGAGGAGAGGTTAAGAGGGGTTGTTTAGGCTTCATGTATTGGCTCACGGAGGCACTGATCAGACATGTTAATGCATGCATTGGCTCGCTGCACCCTTAATTTCCTGATACACAACGTAACTAAAAAAACTGAAAATAATAATGCATACTATATTTTGAAATACATTAGATGGAGTAATTTTTAATAAAATTATTTCCCTGCATTTTTTCATTTAAATAATTATAGGGTAACTTTACTTTGCTGTTCTTCTTATGAATTTATGCATGCACATGTTCCCTCAAAACAAATTATGCATGCATGCAATAGATATCTTTTCATAGATCGCTTTATTGTTCTGCAGTCGGTATGCAATATTACTTGCGACTATCATGCTAATTACCTATCATTAATTAACATTAAACTGTTTTTTGAAGAATGAATATTAAACTGTGTTGAATATTAGGTACACAGGAACAATCCATCATCCCATTTAAGTTGTCATAGCGATGCGGAGCTTGATGAACTTATTTTCAAGTGTGGAGGTCTTCCTGAAGTGATAGTTTCTATAGCTACCTTACTGGCTACAAAGACTGTAACATTGATGGATACTATACGATCTTTGAATGACAAATTTATGCACCATCTGGAGTCAGATCTGGAGTATGATAGTCTGCGGACCTTATTTGGTTGGATGAATTCCTACTTCAGTACTAGTCCGGATTCACTCAAGCCATGTATCTTCTACCTATCTATTTTTCCTCGAGCCCGCATCATTCGGCGGAGACGATTAGTAAGGAGGTGGATTGCAGAGGGTTACTCGAGAGACAATGATGATAAATCTGCAGAGGAGAGAGCAGAAGATTTCTTCTCGCGGCTGATTGATCTTAGCATAATGCAGCAGCCACCCAAAGAAACAGCCACCACTGCACCAGGCGATGCAAGAATGGCCTTGTGCCAGGTCAATGGATTCATTAGGGAGTACATCGTCTCACAACAAGTGGAAGACAACCTTGTTTTTGAGCTAGGTGGCAGTTGCACCCTGAACATCCAACGCACTGGGCGTCACCTTGTCATATTGAGGAGTTGGGACAGAGACATAATTGTGTTCAAGAGCATTGACTTTTCGCGACTACGGTCTCTTACTGTATTTGGCAACTGGGAACCATTTTTCATCTCTAAAAGTATGATGACTCTTCGGGTGCTTGATCTGGAGGATGCATCGGGTATAGTGGATGGCGATCTTGTGAAGATGGTGAAACTATTACATCGCCTCAAGTTCCTGTCCCTACGAGGACAACATGAGATCTGCCATCTACCAAGTTCACTTGGAAATCTGAGGCAGCTCCAGACTTTGGATGTGAGAGGCACTTCCATAATCTCCCTTCCTAAGTCCATCACCAAGTTACAAAAGTTGCAATACATTCGTGCCGGCACTAGCGACGCCCCAACATCGATACCAACAGCTTCGTCCAGGTGGTTGCCCAATTTCCGCAGACGTCGCCTGCTCGGTGTTGAGGTGCCCAGTGGGATTGGGAATCTAACGGCACTGCACACGCTTGGTGTTGTCAACGTCGTTGCTTCAGGAGGGAGGGCTATAGCGGAAGAGCTCAAGAAACTCACCCAGTTGCGCAAGCTAGGAGTGTCAGGCATCAACGGGAAGAACAGCAAGGAGTTCATCTCTGCAATCTCAGGTCATGTGCACCTCGAATCCTTGTCGGTGTGGCTCGACAAGGACAATCACTGTTGCTTGGATGACATCTCCATGCCTTGGGAGAACCTACAAAGTCTTAAGCTATATGGGCTTCAAGACAAGTTGCCACCATCAGGGAGCCATCTTAGCAAGCTGAGGAAGCTGGTTGTGGAGATGGACACTTCGAAGAAAAATGACATTGCGTTCCTTGCCATGCTACCAATACTATGCATTCTACGTCTTCAAGTCAAACAGCAGCTTCAGGATGGTAAGCTCCATTTTCATGCTGAGATATATGGAGAGGAGGTGTCCACCTTCAAAAAGGTGAAGATCCTTGAGATTGCTTGCAGCTCCAGCAACTTACATGTGACCTTTGGGTCAAAGTCGATGAAAAATCTTGAGCTGCTCGAGATTGACTGCTCCAGTGCGTCTTATCAGCTTACAGGCCTGAATTATCTATCTGAGCTCAAGCAAGTCCTGCTGAAGGGTACTGACGACGGAACACTCAAGACAGACCTGGAGAACCAGCTCGTCAACCATCCAAAGACACCCGCTGTGAAGCTGGAGGAACTGATTTCGTCCTGAAGGGTCATTATATCTGTTTAGTTCCCCTTCTTTTTCACCTACCACTAGCTTGATCTAGTCTTTGCAATCCCTGCTTTGTTTGAGTAAAGTCTGTGTACTTGTGGCCTGTTCTTGATGGTTACAATCATGTTCTAGTATGCGTTTCTGCTTGCCTTCATGGCTTTGTTGTGATATAGTATGTGCTTAGCTGATGTGCCTGTTATGTATACTTGCATTATCATGCAAGTGTCGATAAAGAACGTTCAGATTTGATTTTATGCCTTTATCCGTCTTGTGTATTGAATTTATCTTTCTCCTTGTAATCAGACGAAGGGAGCCATTCTGCTCGCCATTTTGATTTCTAGTATATAGTACTGTCAAATGGGGATGCTATAAAAGTGAATAAAAGCGGGGACTGGTTTATTATAAGTACAGTAGTCATTGTTTGTGATTTAACCTCAAATGCTTTTGGTGGTCCTTGGTGTGTGACCAGCATTTAGATGTGTCTGTAGTAACCAATGGACACCCCAGCAACATTCATCATCTGTGGAATGAGATCGATCCTTGAGACAAATCATGACTAGGTAGCTCCAAATTCGTGAGACAGATCATGTTTAATTCAATCACTGACCATCAGCAGAACACCAAATTCTGGATACTGATTGAAAAAGATTATCAGTGGACCATGTGAGCACGCCGACCATTTCGCTACATCACTCCACTTTTAGTCCTCAGTCCACACCGTGCATTACAAACACATCTAGGTTTCAATTCAGCTCCTTGCCTTGTCCTACGCAAATATTTGGAACGCCGCCAGTAGGGCTTCACTCTTGAGCTGCATCGCTTCCCTCCTCCAGCGCCTCTTTCTCCTTTTGCTGCTCCACTGCGTAGGGGCAAAGTGGTTCAACATGAGCAGTTAGTGAACGCACAACAGGAAGGAAACTGAGCTCAAAACTAACTGAACCAAACATCTACCAGTTACTACTCACATGCAATCTCCGCCAGAGCTTTCTGAGTGCGCTTCTCCAGCTTGTCGATCCTCTTCTGCACATCTCGTTTCAGGTCCCAGTTCGGGTTCTTTGGGGCGATGTTCCCGAAGGGGTTCTGCAGATAAGTAAATATGGTGAGTTTTGCCCCGTGAAAGATGCAAGGATGTCACAGAATCATGAACGTATGATATGGTGGATCCAGAAATGTTACCTCCAGCTGCTTCGGTTCAGCAGCATCAGCAGCGATCGGATCTTCAAACTTGGGAAGAGACAGAGGAGCCACCTTGCCACCTCGGAGCCGCTCATCATGAGGAAGGTAGTTTCTGAACTTCAGTGGTACCTCCCTGCATCAGAAAGATTACATACTTGTGAACAATGATACACCCACCATTAAATAAAGAGTCAAGTATGCTACATGTCATCAATTAATCCCATAAACATTTCATACCGCGGACGAAAGGCTTGCGTATACTTGAAAAAAATCAGGACATCTGGCACTAACAGTTTATGATTTTATAATTGACAACCAATTGACTGCTTAACCCAAGTCAGGAAATGCCATCTCAACAATCTGACAAGTAAACTGATTGTACAAAGCATATAATGTGAGATTATACATGGCAAGGGATTGCTGTGTAAATCGAATTCAGCTTTTATTTATATATAAGAATAACAAGGCATTGCTGTGTTAACTAAAATCCAGCTTACAAGAATGGCAAGTGTAACAACAGGAACGAATTCAGATTTTCAGTCAGGTGCAGATGGAGATTTCACTAAAAATAACATAAAGGGACTCAGCCAGTTATTATAAACAGAACATATATGTAAAATACAGAAGGCACTCAAGAAAGCTAGTACGTAAAAGTTGTCTGTTCAATTACTTACCCATTGTCTTCAACCTCATTAGATTCCTTAGTGGGGCTAACGTTCTCCTTGGAAGCATCCTCGGGTGCATCCACAGGACCACCTGGCAATGCTGGTTGGTCCACCTGTTCTTCTGTCGCCCCATGTTCACCATTCCTAATGCAGTCAACGAATATAAAATTCAGCATAGATTCACTGACAGACAGTACAAATTTATATCTTCTTATAGTTCATACATTGTTCTCATGGTTCAGTCCTCTAGCTAGTAGTAGTACGTTCTGAGGAGCAGCACAATAACATTTTAGTTCAATTCAATCCCAGATAGTGTTAGGAGTAAAACATCAGGTTAAGTTGCAAGAACCCACAATGAGATATATTGTCATATAAATATATGGCGATTAGTTTGCACTCACTATCCTGCATTTATATATGGGTTAACATCTAATGCGTGAATATGCATTCAACGAACAAAGACCTTACTCTAGCAACACAGAACTGAGACGTCAGCAGTACATTTAAAATTTGGATAACTTGAATTACTTTCAGACAAATGTTCGAGCATTCAGGTCCTTGTCATATCTACATGTACAGTGAGTGGACACATATTATGGCACAAACCCATCAAATCGTAGTGCTAATTAACTCAAACATTGTGGATTTTGGTATGAACTAGTACAGTGATAATAATAATAATGAAAGTCTCAACTTGATAGCTAAAGACCGATGAATCAAAACCAACACAACCAAAATCCAGAAGGGGTCATCGGAGCAAATGTTAAACAGGATATGGAGTTGTCTGCAAAGCTTATGAGAGGGGATCCTCCAGATGCACCATGTGAGGTCATAAACTCCGAACCATCTTTGTTCAGCTTTCAGGTTCTTGGCTAGTGAGTAATGCCACAGACCCAGACCCTGTAGCACAGGGGGGAGTGAGGACCAACGTCTCCGACTCGGATCCTAGAGACAGTCCTACGGGTTCAAATCCCATGGCCTGCGCACTGACTCAATATGCGCTAAACAAAAACTCCAAGCGGTCTGCTAGTTCTAGGACCAGCACAGGATTCTGTAGCACCCAATCCTGCAAAATTCTCCAAATTGAGCGCTCCTACTATGCATCCGCGAGCATTCCCAGCTATGATAGGATGGGCTTCTCCCCACTCAGCGTACACCAACCAACATACACAGAAACAAGCACCAACCTACCTTCAGTTCACTCCCCCTCAAGCAAAATACACTAGCAGGCGTAGAGGCGGAGCCGTCGCAGTTACTTACGGCACACCAGCGGTGGTAGGGATGGGCGAACGATAAGGGAGGGGAGGGGGAGAACGTACTGCTGGTCCGCGTCGGGTGCGGGGCCGGGGGCGGGGGCGGCGCCGTCGGGCGTGGAGAGGAGCTCCTTGGCTGCGCGGAGGGCCTTGAGGCGCTCGCGGCGGGCGGCGGCGTCCTCCTCGGCGCCCATCCCGACCTGGCTCCGGCTCCGGCTCCGGTCGACTCGCCGGGGAAGCGGGCTAGGGTTTCGGGGCCGCGGGGGGTTCGATTCGCTAGCCGCTACGGGAGGAAGAAGAAGGTGGACGTGCGCGTTGGGCTTCAGTGCCTTGGATATTCTTGCTGTGCGGGCTGGGCTGGGCTGTCTACCTTACCCATCCCGGGCTCCCGGCCCAGCGCCAGTGGAAACAAATGGAAATTTGAATTCTCATTACAATATATATATAATATATCGAATTTGTTTCAAACTACTCCCTCCGTTCCTTTTTATTCTGCATATAAAATTTTGTGGTCAAGATAATATAATGCCACTAATGTTGGTAAAACGCAATTTGCTTCATTCTTGATGTTTACCAAGTAAAAATATAAAATAGAAAGAAATATCACCACGTGTACAATTGACTACTCCATTGTACGGCTGCCATGTGATTTTTTCATTCAAATTCGTGGCTTACCTCCCACCCGCTCTCGTCTCTTCAGCCAGCGCGCCCGCCAACTGCCACGGAAAATTCCCTAATTTCTACTCCCTCTGTTCCAGAATAGTTGTCGCTGGAGTGAATTTCCGACCAGGTGAAAAAGGGAAAATGTACCAAAGTACCGCTAACTTGAAAACGAAATTGTCCCTAATCGTCGTCTTCCCTCTGCCAGGCTCCTCCCCTCCGCCGTGGCCGCCCAGCCTCGAGGCCCCGTTGTAGCAGCACAGCCGCCGGCGACTCGTGCCCGTCGCGCCTGCACCTCCAGCCGCCCGCGGCTCCTGCCCGTCGCCCCCGCTGTAGCAACAGCGCCTCCAGCCGCCGGCGACTCCTGCCCGTCGCGCTTGCTGTAGCAGCACAGCCTCCAGCGCCTGTAGACACATGCCCGTCGCGCCTGCTGTGCGACTCCTGCGCCGGCGACTCCAACACCTCAGCCTCCCAACGCCGGAGCTCCGGATCCGGCCAATTGACCTCGTCGGCGAGCAGCCAGGTCGCCTCGTCGCGCCTCTCTTCCTCACTGGTTCTCCTGCTCTCGCTTCCTCCAAATTGTGACTGGCGGACCAAGCAAATCGAGCAAGAACAACGACAGGGGTTCTCCTGTTTGGAGGGAGAACATCAACATGGGTTTGTTTGGAGGAAGAACAGCAACAGGGACCAACCAAATTGTGAATTGCTACCTGTAACAGGGCTCTGTTTGTGAACAACAACAGGGACCAACGGGTGTATGTGTTTGGATTGATCAATTGCTTGGATTGATCAGAAGTGTTGCAGCAACATGGGTCCTCCCATTGTGTTACTCCACTTGATCAGAATTGCTTGGATTGACCATTGTCCATCTGTCCACCTGTGAAAACAAAAGCAAGATTGACAAATCAGCAGAAAATTGACAAAGCAAGATCAACAAGGAGTAGTTTCATTTAGTTTTAATTAACTTCAAATTTTCATTTGGTTCATCTCACTCACCTTAATTAACTTAAAAGTTTCATCATACTGCACCTTAATTAACTTAAAGGTGAGTGGTTTCTAAGGAGTAGAATTTGTGTTTACTGCTACTGGAATTCCAAGAAAAGGAAGGAGAAGATAAGAGATCCTACACCATACTCCTACTCCAAGAACTAAGTTTTAACTATTGCACTTGTGTTTCCCTAAATATGAGGTAGTTGCTGTCAAGCTTATCCTATCCAAAATTATCTGCAGTGCTCTTGTTAGCAGAGAAGAGAATGAGAAGAAAAGGAGGAGAAAAAGAAGTTGCACTGTGCTCCTTCAAGCTACTCCTAAGAATAGAAATTTTGTTTATTGAATTTGCAAAATTCTTCAATACTTCATTTGACAAAGTAGGAGTACCATTCTGAACATTCTCCAACTTAACAAAACTAACTGTTCTGATACAATCAAGTTTTGCTGTCACACAAAAGTACTCCAACATGTAGCTACTGTACTGAAACATGTACTCCAGCTTGTTCAGAATATCAAGCTTTTTTTATATCTAATGTATACCTACTGTCCTCACAAACTCCAGCATTCAAGCAAAATACACATTCAGTAAACACACATTCAATCAAAACAGGTGTTGACTTAACCTACAACATTCTGTGTAAACACACCATTCAAGCAAAATACACATTCAGTAAACACACATTCAATCAAAACAGGTGTTGACTTAACCTACAACATTTTGTGTAAACACACATTCAAGCAAAATACACATTCAGTAAACACACATTCAATCAAAACAGGTGTTGACTTAACCTACAACATTCTGTGTAAACACACATTCTAGCAAAATACACATTCAGTAAACACACATTCAATCAAAACAGGTGTTGACTTAACCTACAACATTCTGTGTAAACACACATTCTAGCAAAATACACATTCAGTAAACACACATTCAATCAAAACAGGTGTTGACTTAACCTACAACATTCTGTGTAAACACACATTCAAGCAAAATACACATTCAGTAAACACACATTCAATCAAAACAGGTGTTGACTTAACCTACTACATTCTGTGTAAACACACATTCTAGCAAAATACACATTCAGTAAACACACATTCAATCAAAACAGGTGTTGACTTAACCTACAACATTCTGTGTAAACACACATTCTAGCAAAATACACATTCAGTAAACACACATTCAATCAAAACAGGTGTTGACTTAACCTACAACATTCTGTGTAAACACACATTCAAGCAAAATACACATTCAGTAAACACACATCCAAGCAAAATAGGCTGAAGGAGTATGTTGCGCGTACCGGAGATGGCTGGTCGGCGTCGGGACTGTGTGGTGTTTTGGCGCCCGGAGGCCTTCAGACCACCACAATTGGCCGGCATTGCTCTCTTGCAGCTCTTGGGAGTTCTGCTGGAGCACAGGAGGAAATTCAGTTAAGCACAGGAGGAAACTCGGTTAAGCACATGAACTATTCCTGCAGTTAAACGCATCACCGCCCATGAAATTTAGTTAAACGCACGAAATTCAGTTAAAGGCTGAGCTAATACTAGCAGCTGCTCGCCGAGTCATCGAAGCAGAGGTCTGGCACCACCGCTAGGGAAGAAGATGCCGTCGTCCCGCCCGTGCTCGCCGAACCCGCTGTCGTCTGGTCCATGGCTGCGCCTGCCCCGCTGGGCCTCGGCCTCGCGGCGGTGATGTGCTGCCGAATGAAGGCCTCGAACTCCAGCTCCGACACGCTCTGCTTTGGACCAGCACCACCATCTTCCTCCCGCTGCTCCGGTCCAGCACCGGTGTCCTCCTCCCGCTGCTCCAATTCAGCACCGCCGTCCTCCTCCCGTTGCTCCAATCCAGCACTACCGTCGTCCTTCCGCTGCTCCAGCACAGATCGAGCACTGCCGCCCATGGATCGAGCACCGCCGCCCATGGATCGAGCAACGCCGCCCACGGACAGAGCACAACGGCTCTAAAAATGTTACCTTTGACCAAGAGCTAGCAGGCGGGATAATAGGGTTAGGGCCTTACGGGTACGAATCGGGGTGGTAGAAGAGCAAGACGATGGTGAGGAAGACACCGACGAGAGGAAGTGGACGGCGACTGGCCGACGAGCGATTTGGGCTCGAGAGGAGCGACTGGGGAGAGAGCGAGTGGTCGCCTGGTCGGTGCGAGTGGGAGGGCAAAATGGGAAAGGGAAGAAAACAGATAGCGTGACGGAAATTGTACTAAGATTCTAAAACGACAACTATTTCGGTACAGAGGGAGTACTACTGTACAGCAGGCGTGATTGATTGTACGTAGCCTGTCCTCTCATTGCCTAATGGGCTATTTTGCGCGTGGGTGCGTGCGTGCGTGTCTGCTGTGGGCAGTGCACAAATGCATTCGTGATTCACGAGTTGAATGTACCTTCTCATTTTGGGACTAGAGAATGCATAGTGATGTAGGCTGCGCCGTGTGGGTGGCGTGTGTGGTGTGTGCGCGTACCGCGTACCATATATAAATTGCACATAAGGTCTACCAGAAGTACTCCACCTTACGCCTTCGTTTTTATCCTTCTTTTTGCAGTTTGCCTTCTTTTTTATCCCACTTCCATGTTTCTCCAGTCTAAAG